AGTTCACCCCTACTGACCAGCGCGTGACACACTGCACGTGTGCTCGGACCTGTACACACTGACTACTGAGTCCCCTCAGGTAGCTGCGTCTGCGTCTGAGTCAGGTCAGCTGTCGGCCCCCTGCTCGTGCCGCTCTCTGGCACACGAGACCGTCCTCTGGCACCACCGACTTGGTCACCCGTCCGTGGAGCACCTTCGGGCAATGCACAAGCGGTACCTTGTCTCTGGTCTTCCCAGAGTTCTCCCTCCCCTCCCACCCTCGCCTGCTCCTCCATGCCTTCCCTGTGTCGAGGGGCGGCAGCGCGCTGCTCCTCACTCCTTCTCGTTTCCCCCGACGACTGCTCCCTTGCAGACGCTCCACATGGACGTGTGGGGCCCTGCCCGCGTCCGTGGTCAGGGTCAGGAGAGGTACTTCCTGATAGTTGTGGACGACTACTCGCGCTACACCACGGTCTTCCCCTTGCGCACCAAGGGTGAGGTCCCTGATGTTTTGATCCCTTGGATCCGCGCTTCTTGTCTTCAGCTCAGCGAGCATTTCCACTCGGACTTTCCTGTCCTGCGCTTGCACTCTGACAGAGGTGGTGAGTTCTCCTCCGACCTCTTGGCAGCCTACTGTGCGGAGCACAAAATCCGCCAGTCGTTCACGCTTCCGGCCTCTCCATAGCAGAATGGGGTTTCTGAGCGCCGCATTGGCCTCATCATGGAGGTCGCTCGTACTTCCTTGATCCATGCGGCTGCCCCCCACTTTCGTGGCCGTTTGCGGTCCGATACGCTGCGCATCAGCTCAACCTCTGGCCCCGTGTCTCCTTGCCGGAGACCTCCCCGACACTGCGTTAGATGGGAGAGGTTGGCGATGCGTCGCGTTTTCGGGTCTGGGGATCCCAAGCTTTTGTTCGCGATACGTCCGCGGACAAGCTCTCCTCCCGCGCTGTTCCGTGTGTCTTCCTAGGCTTTGTTCCGGACGCGTCTGGTTGGCAGTTTTACCACCCCACCTCGCGCCGTGTCCTCGCCTCTCAGGACGTCACCTTTGACGAGTCGGTACCCTTCTACCGCCTCTTCCCCTACTGCACTGCCCCGCTCCCTCCCCCGCCTCTCTTCCTCGCGCCAGGTGCTGCTGTGGTAGACCCCCTCCCCCCTCAGGGTGCCGCTCCCTCAGGTGTGTCCCGTGTAAACCCGGTTGAGCCTGTCGAGGTAGCTGTCAACTCTCGTCCTGCTCAGGGTGCTGAGCCTGAGCGTGCGAGCCTGGGGTTGCGGAGACTGGGGGTGCTGATCCTGGGGGTGCGGAGTCTGGAGGTACTGAGCCTGGGGGTGCTGAGCCTGGGAGTACGGAGCCTGCTTGTGCTGAGTCTGGGGGTGCTGAGTCTTGGGGTGCTGAGCCTGGGAGTGCTACGCCTGGAGGAGCTCTCTCCTCACAGCAGCTGCGTGAGTGGTACTTACAGTACTGCAGCCTCAGCAGAGGTGCTTTTGGAGCTAGGAGTGCTGCTGGAGCTGGTACTCGTGCTTCCTCTCCTGCGCGGGAGCTGCCCTCTCCCCAGCGACTCCGTGAGTGGTACGCACGGCGCTGCAGTCTTAGGAGTGGCGCTCCTAGTGTCGCGGACCCTGCTACTGGTGCTGCGGACCCTGGAGGTGGAGTTGCTGCTGGTGCTGCGGACCCGGGCGTTGGAGCTGCTACTGGTGCTGCAGACCCGGGCGTTGGAGCTGCTGTTGGTGCTGCGGACCTGGAGTTGGTGCTGCGGAGCCTGGCGTTGGAGCTACTGCTGGTGTTGTGGACCCTGGAGTTGGGGCTGCTGCTGGTGCTGCGGACCCGGGCGTTGGAGCTGCTGGAGCAGCTGGTCCTGGAGGTGCGTGTGCTGGAGGTACAGGAGGTGCTGGAGGTGCTGCTGGAACTGCTAGAGGTTCTGGTGCTGTCTCTGCTGCTGCAGGGGGGACCTCACGGCCGCGGCCGTACTTCGTTCCACTCCTTCAGCAGGTTCTTGGTCAGTGGCCCCCGCCTGGTCCCCCTCCCTCTGTAGAGTGTCCACCGCTGGTCCAGTCGCAGACACAGCTACCACCTGCCTCGCCACTTCCTCGTCCTTCTCCCTACACTTGTCCTACAGGCGGTCTCACAGAGCGTCGTCAGCCTGAGTCTCGTCCTGTGTTGCATGTGTCCCGTCCTGAGTCACCTGTTCGTACTACTTCCACCAGTCGCCGTACTCCACGTGAGCGTCCGCCACCAGTCCCTGGCACACACCGGATGTCACTGCGTCCCTCCACTGGTCCACAGCATGTCCCTCTGCCGTCTCCTCCTGAGTCCTCTCTTCTTGCTCTTGCTGACCCAGAGTCTGACTCTCTTCGTGCTGCCAGTCCTACTATCACGCGCCTCCTGGCCACTGCTGTCACTGACCCTTCGTTTGAGTCTGCTGCTGCGTCTGCCCTAGTTGCTGAGCTTGTCGACTTTGCTGCTCGCTGTCGTCTAGACTACGCTGCCAGTCTTGTCGCTGAGTCTGAGTCTGTCTGTCCTCCGTCTGTCGGGGGTGAGTGTGCTCTTAGCACGGACGTCCTTGAGGACAGACGGGAGGATCTTGAGTGTCTTGCAGCCGCTGCGCCCCATCTCATGTCCATGCTAGTTGTCCCTGAGGGAGACCCGGATGCACCAGACATCCCGACTCCTCGATCGTACGCTGAGGCGATCGAGGGTCACTACTCCTCACAGTGGCAGTCCACCATGGACACAGAGATGGCTTCCTGGAAGTCCACAGGCACCTACGTCGACGAGGTTTCCCAACCTGGGGCGAACATCGTCAGTGGCATGTGGATTTTCAGGGTGAAGCGGCCGCCGGGTTCTCCGCCTGTCTTCAAGGCTCCTTACGTTGCTCGAGGCTTCAGTCAGCGAGAGGGAGTAGACTTCTTTCAGACCTTCTCCCCCACCCCAAAGATGACCACACTTCGGGTACTACTGCACGTTGCTGCTCAGCGCGACTACGAGCTTCACTCTCTTGACTTCAGCACAGCTTTCTTCACTCTCTTGACTTCAGCACAAGGAGATCTGGCTGCGCGGCCCTCTTGGCTTCACTGGGTCGATTCCTCCTGGTACCCGATGGAGCCTCCGGCGGCCGGTCTACGGTCTCCGCCAGGCGCCACGTGAGTGGCACGACACACTGAGGACTACTCTTACGGCACTTGGGTTCTCTCCTTCTACTGCTGACCCGTCGCTGTTTCTACGCACGGACACTTTGCTGCCGCCGTTCTACATCCTCGTGTACGTCGACGACTTGGTCTTTGCCACGGCTGACACTGAGTCTCTCGCCCACGTGAAGTCGGAGCTGCAGAAGAGACACACGTGCACAGACCTGGGTGAACTGCGCAGCTACCTTGGCTTGCAGATCACCTGGGACAGATCACGCCGCACCATTACCCTGACTCAGTCACACATGGTGCAGCAGGTCCTTCAGCGCTTTGGCTTCACCTGGTCCTCAGCACAGGCCACTCCTCTGGCTATAGGTCACTTGCTCTCAGCTCTGCCTTCGGATGAGTCTGTAGAGTCGAGTGGTCCTTACCCAGAGCTAGTTGGTTGCCTCATGTACCTGATGACTTGCACTCAACCTGACTTAGCATACCCTCTTGGCCTTCTGGCTCGCTACGTGGCTCCTGGTCGTCACCAAAAGGTACACTGGGATGCTGCAAAGAGGGTATTGCGCTACTTGTGCAGTACATCAGGCATGGGGCTCGTGCTTGGAGGAGGGAGCTCAGTTGTTCTCACTGGGCACTCAGACGCTTCTTGGGTTGACGACCAGGCTACTCTGCGGTCGTCACAGGGTTACACCTTCAACCTTGGCTCTGGTTCAGTTTCGTGGCGCTCTACGCGTTCGTCTTAAGTTCTCAGCTCCAGTTGTGAGGCTGAGATCTACGCCACAGCCATGGCTGCACAGGAGTTAGGCTGCTATTGCCTTGTGTGAGGAGCACAGACTGGAGCACAGAACGAAGCACATCGCTCTCAGTTACTTCCTTGCTCGTGAGCTATAGCAGCGTGGTCAGCTTTGTCTGCGCTACGTGGCCTCTCAGGCCAACACCGCTGATATATTCACCAAGGCACTTCAGTCTGGTGATCATCAGCGCTTCTGTACTTTGTTGGGGCTGGTGCCCACTTTGCCTCACTTGTTGTAGGCTTTGCCTGTACTGTGATCTCTATATATACTCCTGCCTGTTTGCTCTGCTAGGCTGAGATCACCTTTGCTGTTTGTACTACTTATATATACTTCTGCATGTGAACTGGCCATGTGGCCCTTTGCTTGTGCTCGGAATGTGTGGTGACGTTGTGATCCACCCTGAGCTTGCTTGCCTTTCTTGACTGGTCTTGTGACCCCTTGCTCTCCCCCACTTTGCCTATGGGGGTGTGTCAAGCACTATATGTGTTATTGTTGTGTAGGCTATAGTGGGTTAGCCTTTAGGGGGTACACAAAGCTAGGGTTTCCTACTTGTACTCCAACTTTTCATAGTCCAATCACTTCTTCTTCGTAACAGTATGGAACGTGCTTCAGCGACAGCACTCATATTGAATTTGCGCAGGGGCAGGTTGGACGACTATAGTCTCGGAGGGTGCGAACTTGTGCATAAGCAGCCATATAGGAGGCTAATCTCTCATAGGTGCCCCCTCAACACAGTGGTGACTACGCCATGTCACAGACTGGCATTGCGCACCACAAAACTTGCTAACAACTGTTGGACGCGCGTCCATATGTACACATGTCATGTTTTGTGTGACCTCACGGATTACAAGCCCATTTGTACCGCACGAGGTCCATGTTCACGGTTGTATGGCCATAGTGGTCCGGCTTACAGTTGTATCCGACTTGGATGGATTATTTACAGTATGTTGGAAACCTCATATACACGTCCATATATTTCACAATTCTAGATGACATATATGAATGTACTCTCACATGATTCTGCATTTAAGGTTATATTGGGTAGTCCGGACCGGCATTATCTCCCCTTACAAACTACTAGAATCTACAGCACACATGTTCAGTGGCTCTTATATCACCAACTTATGCAACCTGCTCGTCATGGTTTATCTCCTCCCCTTCCATGTCCTCATGCCCGGCCTCATAGTCTTCATCCTCATCAACAGACGCATCGTCATCAGAGTAGTCCTCCGGTGGGGTCTTAGGATCATCAGCCGTGGCCTGGTCTTTCGTATTTTGTGTGACCGTGTCCACCTCCTCTACTTCCCTTAAGCCCCGTGAAACTCCGCCCTTACATCTGGAATGATCCTCAGCAGGTGGTGCTTCTTCCAATCCCTCTTGAGCGGCCCTCCACTCCCTCTATCGGTTCCAGTGCATGAGCTTCACTAGCAGCCTAAGCTGCTTCTCGGTGCACCCTTCCAGCGCTTGCCTCTCTTGATTATAGAGTTCCATGGTACAACTAATACGAGACTTGGGCTGCAGGACCACCGCCCCCGACGCATATGCGTATGCAACCTCAGCCTTGTCTTTGTACTACCCTAGACGCACTTGCTTCCCATGTCCCAATATTATACGAACATAGTACCTCTGGTTCTCCACGTTCCACATCACGCCCGTTCGACCACTTCTTGATGCCCTGCTAGGGTTGTCAGGAGTGGACTGCACGGGGGTCATAGAGCGGCCATGCACCGAGAGAGCAAGAGTGTCACACTCTTGCCGACGGATTGGCGCAGAAGTTGTCCGGCCGACGGGGACTGAGCGTGGGGCCAACGTGGGGCTGAACGTGCCAGCGGTGGAGGTGCGCTTCGAGGACGTGAACGCCGAGGCGGGCGTGTACGTCGGCATGCGCGCGCTGCCCACGTTCCTCAACTTCACGCGCAACTCCCTCGCCGTGAGTCGAACTCGCTCGCCGTGAGTTGCGCAACTCCCTCCGCGTTTCACTCCCCGAACTGCTCTGAACTCTTCGTACTGTTGATTTTACTCAAAATTTACCGCCTTTTTTCCGGTCCCCCTTGCGTCCCGTACCCATTTGCCTCCCTCACTTGCGCGTGTCCCCCGGTTCAGGCGGCGCTGCGGTCGCTGCGCGTGGTGCCGGACTCGCGGCGCCCGTATCCAATCCTGCACGGGTGTTCAGGCGTGCTGCGGCCGGGCCGCATGACGCTGCTGCTGGGGCGGCCAGGCGCCAGCAAGTCAACGCTCATGCAAGTGCCAGCAGGCTGCCCCGACAAGTCGCTCAAGGTGGGTGGGGCTTGTAGGCTGTAACATGTGGGCACCGCTGACAGTGAGAATGTGGTTTAAGAACGCATTGTGCGCTGCCCCTTTTCCACTTCTCTCCTCCTCCTATTTCTTTCCTTCTTCTGATTTCCACGCAGGTGTCGGGCAGCGCGAACTATAATGGGTATGTTTTTAGCGAGTTCGTACCAGAGCGCACAGTAGTGTGCATGCCGCAAAACGACAAGCACATCGGCAAGATGACCGTCTGGGAGACCCTCGACTTTGCCGCGCACCTGCAGGGCCGGTGGCTCAGGAAAGGTGGGTACAACTTTCGGTGGGATTCTTTCACCTCTTCCTCCATAATCATCTCTCTACAATTTTCGGCCTCCCCCCCATTTACCCTCCGCTTCCTCCCTTCCCCCAGACCACCCTTTCCCCTATTTCCCCCCCGTCCCCACCCCTGCACCCCTGGTGGCGCAGACCTAGTGGCGGAGCTAGAAAAGCGAGAGGGGGAGCAGGGCATTGTGCCCTACCCCACTATGGACGCCATCACGAAGGTATGGGCGCCATCACGAAGGTATGGGCGCCATCACGAAGGTATGGGCGCCATCACGAAGGTATGGGCGCCATCACGAAGGTATGGGCGCCATCACGAAGGTATGAGCGACATCACGAAGGTATGGGCGCCATCACGAAGGTATGGGCGCCATCACGAAGGTATGGGCGCCATCATGAAGGTATGCGGGCAATAGTCGGTTTTAGGCGAGGTTCGGGGTTATAGGGCACATCCTGTGTCGTTCAGAGAAGAATCGTTGTCTTTGCTTGGCTGCTCCCTGGTTCTTCCCTCTCCATCTACACTGGTAGCCATTCCTCGTTGACTACTCCCTTTTGGTGCTACACACTCTCTCACTCCCCCCCATCTCTTTCGTCGTCCCACGTGTAGGCAATGGCGCTGGAGGGCAATCCCACCAACGTCATCACAGACTATGTGCTCAAGGTGAGGATGGTAGTGAGGTGACACAATGTGCTGAGGTGAGTCTCGTCTGGTGGGGGGGGTGATGGTGAGATGACACAATGTGCTTAAGGTGAGCGGGTTGCAGCCTCAAGGTGATATGAATGCTCCAGGTGAGCCAGTGAGACGATTGAACAGCATGATTCATGTGCTGAGGACAGAGGCAAGCTGAGATGTTAGGGGACAGGGCCGTACACAAACGGCATGCCCGCTTGGCTTGCACTGCGTGGCTTGCCTTGCTTGCCCATATGCTTGCCTATTCGCTTGCATGCTCTGTTTGCTAGCTCTTAGGTTTCCTGGCTGCCTACAGGCCCAGACAAACTAGCTACAGCCATCTCCTGCCATGTCCGTACCTCGTGACCACTATCAATACATGACTACTTGAGAGAGAGAGAGAGGCCCTAGGAGCTAGTCCTTAGCCTCTCCAGCCCTCTCCAGCCTAGTATAAAGGCCTTAGGACCTGGCTCTTGAGCCTCATTATTCAGTTCAAGCGTTCATTTGCTCTCCTAACCGAGCGGCTCGCGCCGGCCGCCTTCGGCGGCCGACGCTCGACAGCGCGGCCTTCGGCCGCGCGTGAGGGGCGGCAAGATCAAACACACGCAAAAGATACTAAGCATGGACATACCAACAATGACGGTTTCGTCAAGCACCTAGACAGGCATGGCATCGAAGGTGCAATCGGAGCCCGCGCCTACATGCGGTGAGCTCCAAGGGCGTGAAGAATGCCTGTCAGGGAGCGCCACAGCTCCCGGACCACAAGCGTGCTTGCGCCGATAGCGGCGGCTCCAGACCCAGCACGCAAATGGCGCCGCAAGCCGCGCACAGCCTCATCAAGCGGCCCCACCGCCGCAACGCCTCCCTCGGCGGGCGCAGCTTGCACGGGCGCCAGCAGCCCTGCAAGCTGATCGGCTACGTCCAGGCAGGAAACGCGTTGACGATCCAGGAACAACTCAGGGGGGGGCGTAGGGAGAGACGAATGTGCAAGAACCTGTATCAGAAGCAGTGCGTGAAAGCTCTCTGCGAGACGGAAGAGCTGGCCGAGGGTCGCCTCCGGAACACGGGCCTGAGGGGGTTGCAGCGCCTGTGCAAGGAACTGGAATGGCTCCGCAACGGCAAGAGGAGCCGGGCCAGCTGCCGTCACCGCTCCGCCTCCCACAGCCACAAATTCTACTCCTGCCACGGGCGGGACTGGCGGCAGATGCAACCGCGACCCTGGAACGAGAGCAGACGCAGCAGCAGCAGGAGTCGATGGGGCCAGAACACGAGATTGGACGGGTGCAGCAGGAAGCGGAACCTCAGGAAGCGCCGCCTGACGCTGAGCAGCATGGGCGACGGCAACGTGCGAGCTGCCTTGGGTCTGAGCAGCCCTCTCCTCATGCATCGTGGTCGCTACCGCACGTTGCAGATCCGCCATCCTCACGGGCGGATCATATGATCCTCCACCATTGCGACCGCGAGGACCCCACCAGCCACCGCGACCGCCACGGTGAGCTTGCCACTGACCCGACTGTTGATTGCGCCGGGGAGAATTCCGCCGGCGCCGGGAGGACGCCCGATCCTGTTGGGGCGCTGGAGAATGGGGGCGAGATAGGCGACGGTCCGGCGAGGGAGGACGAGACTGCGACGCTAGCTGCGTCTGCTGAGCCACAGGAGGCGCAACAGGGGCAGCCGGGTCCACTGCAGGGGGCACAATCAACTGCGCCGGGCCGCCAGTGGTGGCGGACGCCGGCTGCGGGGACGAGGCAGGCGCAGAAGTCTGCGGCTCGGGGCCAGAAGCTGGGGGCCCAACGGGAGCGGGAGCCGGGAGTGCGGCATCAGACCTTGTCGGGGCTTCAAGTGGAGCCTGGGGAGCAGTTGGCGCGGAAGGGGCGGACCGCTCAGCAGCAGCAGGGGTCACAGACTGAGCGGCAGCTGCGGCAAGGGGAGCCACGGGTTCGGGGCGAGGAGGCTTTTCAGCGGATGTTGTCGAGGGCTTCGGAGCCAGAGGCACCGGGGGCTTCATCGCCGTGGTCGCCTTTCCGGGCTCAGACTGAGGCTTGGCGACCACTGCCGACCAGGCGGCAACGCGCTCTGGCGACGGCTCGGGAGCTCCAGCAATCACCATCACGAGGTCGGGCAGCACAGGAAGAGAGGAGGCAGGCGGTTAGTGGAACAGGCGGAGGGCCGAAGAATGGGTTTCAGGCTGCGGGACGTCGGGCTTTAATTGCTCTGGTAGCGGCCAATGAAGAAGGGGAGAGAAATGACCCCTCTTATACTGCGGAAGCGGAGCCAGAGAGTGAAAATGAAGATGAAGGCGACGGAGCAGAGGCAACGAGAGTAGGGAAGGAGAGGAGAAGACCTGGAACAGCCAATTTACCCACAGTGGGAACAGAGGGGCGTGCAGGGCCATTGGATGCTGATCGAACGGATGAGAATCCAACTCGGCAGCAATCAACGACATCGAGTCGTGCGCGCAGCCATATGCTACGGCCTGTGGATGAGAGCACACCGCTTTGCTCCTGGCTCACCGAGTGCGAGTCCGCCCTGCCTTCCGACGCGCGAGAGCTGCTAGAACGGGAACGACTTAAGCGGACGGATGTCAAACTGCAGCACGCCCTTGCCCTACAGGTCCACGGTAGCCGCTACGCCGTGCAAGTACAGGCAACAAGAGACATGGAGCTGAATCCACTGGCAGGCCATACGCAGCGGATGTTCTCTCTAACAGGCTACGGCACAGGGGACTGGCCGAGTGCTATCCCTATAGAAGCAACCAGACGCTTAGGCCCGGTACACTTCGCCAATGCCGTCAGATTCAGGCTCGGGTTGCCCTTCTCCACCCCCAAAAACTGTGACTGCTCGGATCACACCGAAATCTCTGGACCCCCGCCTCCCAAATCACCTCCTACGCTGCGGCACTGGCAGGCATTGCATCAACACCCATAACGAGCTCCGTGATGCCTGCATTAGTATGGCACAGGACGCGGGTTTTATCGTCCACAGTGAGTCGGCTGCCCACTGCCCTGTCGAGGAACAGACAGCCGATTTCACCATGATCGATAGGAGCAGTGGGGCGGTCTGGGTGTGCGACAGCACTATGCGAACAGGCCAGAGACAGTCGGCTTCTTTCCACTGGCAGTGGAGACCTACCGCTGCCCATGTGCAGAGGTCCCCATCTTCCTTAAACTGCTGGCAGACACTGCGGCTCGGCGCCACTTCAACGCCGACTCTAACTCCTATCATGCCGCCAAGTTTCTGCATCAGTTCAGGCAGCGGTGGTCGGTTGCCCTTCAGAGAGCGCAGTCAGTGGGCCTGCTTATGAAATTGGGTGAGGCGGCAGCAGCTGAGAACCCCCCGATAGGGGGTATTGGTCATGAGCTACACCTAGGGGATTGCTTTGCTGTTTTGGAGCCTCTTGTGGAACTGTAGAGGGAATAGGATGAAGTTGCATGATTCTGAACCTGTATGTGTGTACCTACCTGCCATATCAATATACGGACCATTAGAGAGAGAGAGAGAGAGAGAGAGAGAGAGAGAGAGAGAGAGAGAGAGAGAGTAGAGAGAGAGAGAGAGAAAGAGGAATAGCCTCTGCCCTACACGCAATGGCAACACCTACACTCGCCTAGTACAACGCACGGGATCAACACGACGCAAGAAATGGCAGACACTACATCTGATCCTCATCGAGGACGGCAAGAAGACCCGTCAGCGAGCGATGAAGCTCGCGCACCACCACAGTGGTTGCGCCGATCAAGTGGACTGCAGTCGCTGCGCGCATCGCCCGGCGCAGCCCACGGAGCGCAGTCCCAAGCTGTCCAACGCCCGCAACTCCACCCCGCGCGGGCGCAGCCAACACGGGCGCGAGGAGCTCGGCAAGCCGGTCACCAGCATCCGAGCACTCGTCCAGAGGGCCGCCTACCAGAGGCACGCCCTGAGAAAGAGCCGCGTGGCAATACACCTGAATCAGGTGAACAGCCCGCAGACCCTCAGCGAGGCACCACAGCTGCCCGAGTGACGCCTCAGGCACATCCGCCGAGGGAGAAGGGCCAACCAGCGACTGTACTGGTAGAGCAGTTGCCGGAGAATCAGGAACAACAGGGAGCAGGGACGGATACTGCGGCGTCATTGGTCCCCCGCCCGCAGTCACGAACTCCACGCCCGCCACAGGAGGAACCCACGGCAGCCGGAGGCGGTTCCCATGAGCGGCAGCAGACGCGGCGGGAGCACGAGGAGGAGGAGCGGCAGTCGAGGGAAGAGGTGGATCAGGCGCACATGGAGCAGGCTGAGGATGAGACACCGGCGCAGGAGTGTGGCGCGGCGAATGGCCCAGGCTCGCCCGTCCGCTCCGCTCCTCGCGCATCGCATCAGATACAACCCGCTGCAAGTCAGCCATTGTTACCGGTTGATCATACACCCAGCCGCCACCCTGACCATGCCCTCCCCACCAGCCCCCTCGCCCGCCGCGCGGTGCAGCCTAGTTCGCCTGCGAACCGCGGCGGCGTCGCGATTCGCCTCGCCGCCGCGACGTCTCCCGCTCATCACGCGGTGCAGGGGGGTGAGGTCGCTGCTGCCGACGGCCCGGGGACGCAGGACGCTGGGCGGGTGGACCAGGAGCAAGAGGAGCGGGAGCAGGACCCGCCAGGACGGCAGAAGGCGGCACTGTTGCTGCCACTGTCGGAGGGGCAGGAGCATCCGGAGGCGACGCGTGGGCCGACTGAACCTCGGCCGAGCTCAGGCTGGCGCTGGTGGCAGGAGGTGGCTGGCACGCCGGGTCCACACCAGCAGCAGCGGAAGGCGCCACGGCAGGCGCGTCTAGTGGCGGCAAGGAGGTGCCCCCAGCAACAGCAGACGCCGCCACAAGCACAGGCGTACGCACCAACTCTGCCACGGGGACAGGCGGAACCACCGGCACAGGCGCAGGAGAGTGCGCAGGATCTGACGTCACTGCAGGCCCAGGGGCAGGGGCGGGATCAAACGCCGGGGCGGACGCGGGAGCAGATGACGGCGCGGGCACATGACCAGGCACCACGCCAGGCGCAGACACTGACTCCGCGGCAGGAACGGGCGGCGCAGCAGGCGCGGAGACAAGGCCTGCCTGAGTCACAGACGATGGCGCAGACCGAGGTGCAGGAAGTGGCGACATCCCCGCAGCAACAAGCACTGGAGACGACACGGCAGGGGGGGCAAATGCAGTTGACGCCACGACAAATGGCTGCAGCGAGTACGAGTAATACTCGTCGCCGATCGACACAGGCATCGCCGGACAGACGAGGCGGCGGAAGAGGAGGAGCGGCTGGAAGGGCAGGCGGGCCAGAGAATGGCTTCCAGAGGGAATCACGTCGGGCCTTGACTCGAAGAGTTGCAAACACAGAAGCTGAGGAGGAGGCACGAGATCCCACGTTTATAGCAGAAGTGGTAGAGGAGTCCACCACGGAAGAATCAGGGGGGTTAGTGGAGGAGGAACGAGAAGGAAGACGTCGGGCAAACCCAACACCACGCCAAGCTGCTCCAATTCCAGCAGCCACGGGTGGCGGATTAAACCGGCCAGTACCTGACACCACCGAATCAGAGGCCCGCCAATTCTTACCCGAACAATTGGCCGAGGACATGGTGCGGTTCGGCAAAGTGGAATTATGGAACCTGACCCCCCTACGCGACAGTCGCCAGCCCCCGCTATCTCGCAAACTTCCGGCTGACATTCGTCCACTTTTCGCGAGTGCGCTACTGACACCCCTGCTTCACCTTGCGCGTAACCCTGCATCAGTCCCAGGCTGGCGCCTGTTACTCTTTCTCCCGCGCCTCACCCTTCGCCTCCCGTCAACGGAAAAACCTGATTGGCCGGCGGTCAAACGCCGGCTTCGCCAGTTCACCAAAGGAGAATGGCAGCAGCTTTACGATTCAGCGGTTACCGCGATCACTGGACCACACCCGCCTCGCCACATGCCTGACGCCATTGGCAAACGTGCCAGGGCAGAAGGCCTCGCACGAAAAGGAAGTCTCCGTAGGGCAATCCTCGCCCTCGAGTCAACGCCAGTCGCCGACCCTTCTGCATCCATCCTCGCCGCTCTCAGAGCCAAACACCCCCCTGCGCCACCTGGCACCATCGATTGGAACATCCCTGATTCAGTGCAGGCGGCGTCGATGGAAAAAGGGGACTTCATCAAAATGCTATGCCGTTGCGAGAATGGGGTGGGAGGAGGACCGTCGGGTATGACATTTGAACACCTGCGGGATGCATCGCTGGCCAACACAGGGGTTACCACACACCTTCACGCCCTCGTCAACACTATCCTGCGAGGCAAACTACCAGACGAGGTGTGCGCGCTGCTAACGGCCAGCCGCCTCATAGCTTTAGCTAAGCCTGACGGAGGCACAAGACCGATAGCGGTAGGGGAGTGCCTATTGCGACTAGCCGCTAAGTCGGCTCTCTGAGCCCTCTCCATGGAGTGTCGTGCGCATTTCCTGCCCCTACAATACTGCCTGTCGGTCCAAGGCGGTAGTGAGGCAATAATCCACGCTGCGAGAGCTTTCACGTGCGCTAACCCAGACGCGCTTATACTACAGGCGGATTTGGCTAATGCATTTAACTCTATCAACCGCGGTGCAATAGTCGAAGCCCTTCGCGACACCGACCTCCAAGGTCTACTCCCTCTTGTTAAAGCATCGTATAGCCGGCCGGCTCAGCTGTTCCTTGACACGGGGTTTGGCTGCGAGGCGCTGACGAGCAAGACAGGCGTCCGACAAGGCAACCCGCTCGGCCCGCTGCTGTTTGCCGCAGGGATCCACCCCATCCTCTCAAAGACAGCCGTCGCTTACCCATCGGTTCTCTTCTTAGCTTTTGCCGACGACGTCACCTTCCTGGGCCCCGCAGCCGAGAGTTCAGATGCCTTCCGCTTCTTCATGACGGGCCTGCGCGACGTGGGGCTGACCCACAATCCCGAGAAATGTGCCGCATGGAGTGCAGCGGCCACAGATCCCCAGCAGCTGCCTCATGGGGTGCCACTCCGCACGGAAGGGCTGAGGGTGCTGGGAAGCTTCATTGGTACGACAGACGGAGCAGCAGCCTTCTTACGGACCCAACTAGAGAGTATGTCGTCTCCGCTACACCACATAGCGTGCATGGACCCACAGGTGGCATCGCTGCTGCTAACGCGGTGCATCTCCAGGCGCATCTCATACCTTGCCCGCACAACCCCCCTACACCTCCTTCCCGAGGCCGAGTGGTCACGGTGGGGCCGTGCTCTGCTGTACACGCTGTTGGATGCTTGCGGGGTGCGCCACTCGAGGGGCGAGTCAGAGGAGGGTCGGATCTGGGACCAAGCCTCACTCCCACCTAGCCTAGGCGGCCTGGGACTCACCGACCCTGCTGTAGAGGGCCGGTACAGCTTCCTGGCGAGTTTCGTGCAAGCCCACACGCTACTCGGCGGATTGGGGGGACAAGCGGGGACGAGCCTGGCAGCAGCACTGGACAACACAGAATCCGTCAACCACAGCCCCAATGAACTTCAGGGGTGGATTAAGGACTGCAGCGACAGCCTCACACAGGAGGGGAGGGACCTGATCTCGGCGGAACGGACGAAACCGAAGGGCCAACTCCAGCACCGCCTCGCCCTCCTAGTCCAAGGGGGCCGGAGTGCTGCCCAGATCACAGCATCTAGGCAGATGGACCTGAACCCACTGCTGGGCCACACCCAGCGCCTCATGTCCCTTACAGGCCACGGGGCAAGGGACTGGCTCATGGTGATCCCCTACATGCCAGCGCTACGGTTATACCCCTGCCACTTCACGTTCGCCCTGCAGTTCCGGCTCGGCATGCCACTCTCTGTGCCTGACTGTTGTGACTGCACCAAACGAGTCCCTATTCTAGATAAGAGGCTGCTAAACCACCTGCTGCGGTGCGGTACTGGGCACGGCCGGACCAACACTCACGACGAACTACGGGACGAGTGCATCCGAATGGCGCAGGATGCAGGATTTGACGTGCACAAGGAGTGCACCGCCTTCAGCCCGGTGGACAACAAGAAGGCCGACCTGGCCTTCAGGGATGGGAGCTCGGGGGCTGTGTGGCTGGGAGATATCACAGTCACAGACCCCATCAGTAAACGGGATGAAACTGCAAGGAAGGGGAGGGGCTGGGCGGCGCGAGAGGCGGCAGACAAGAAGATAGGCCTGTACCTCGGCAAGGCGGAGTATGCGGGGTTTGTCCCCCTGGCGGTTGAGACCTACGGCTGCCCCTGCGACGAGGTACCCACCTTCCTGAAGTTGCTGGCGGATAAAGCGGCAAGGAGACTCTTCAACACGGACCCATCTACCTATCAGGCCGCGAAGATGCTCCACCAGTTCCGCCAACGCTGGTCTGTTGCCCTCCAGAGAGCCCAGGCAGTGAGCTTCCTCACGAAGCTGAACTTGGCAGCTCGAGCAGAGAATCCCCCATTGGGGGGACCAGAGGGGGAGATGAACCCCGGGGACTGCTTCACAACACTAGAGGGACCTTAGACATAAGGGGGGGGGGGGGGGGGGCTGTGGGTGGGGTTGTTAGGATGTTTTCTAGGCTCTGGTTTGCTGCTAGGTTGTTCCTAGTCTCTAGTGTTGTCTCTTTCTATGTTGTCTTGCTTGTGTGTACTCACCCGCTATATCAATACAAGGACCGTTAGAGAAAGAGGAATAGCCTCTGCCCTCTGCCCTTAGCCACTGCCCTCGGTTGCCTAGATATTTAAGGGCCCGTCTCACCCTCCCTTTACTCATTATTCAATTGGCGGCTGAATTTTTCCGCTCACGCTCGATGGCGCGGCCTTCGGCCGCGCGTGAGGGGACGGCAAGTCATACGGCACACATTTGCTTATATTAGAAAGCATTACACGCATGGAATGTCCTACGGCAATCTAGCTGAAGGAAAGTAGGCATGGGGCAAACGGAGACCGCGTCTACATGCGGTGAGCTCCAAGAGCATGAAGAACGCCCGTTAGGGAGCGCCACAGCTCCCGGACCACAAGCGTGCTTGCGCCGATCGCCGCGGCTCCAGATCCTGCGCGCAAGTGCCGCCTCAAGCCCTGGACAGCCTTGTCAAGCTGTCCCGTAGCAGCAGCGCCACCCTCCGCGGGCGCAGCCAGCACGGGCGCCAGCAACACTGCGAGCTGGTCCGCCGCGTCCAGGCAAGTGTCACGCTGGCGGCCACGGAAGGTCTCAGGAGGGATCACAGGGAGAGACGAGTGGGCAAGCACCTGAATCAGTAGCAGGGCGTGGAGATTGTCAGTGAGGCGGTGGAGCTGTCTGAGAGCCGCCTCGGGAACGCGGGTCTGCGGAGGCTGGAGAGCCTCCGCCAAGAACTGAAGCGGCTCTTCAGCAGCAACTTGAAGTGCATTCGGAGCCGCCGCCGTGCCACCACTCGCGGCCACAAACTCCACTCCCGAAACGGGCGGAACCGGCGGCAGATGAAGACGAGAGCCGGGAGCAGGTGCCGATACAGTAGGAGACAGAGCTGGCGGTGCAAGGATCTAAGGAGGAGGCGCAGCAACAGGCTGCGAGGTCGCGGGGAGCGCGGCCGGATGAGGAGCCTCGAGGGCTGGCGAGGCGCGCATCGAACTGCTCTGGCTCTGCGCCGCCCTCTCCTCTCGAACCGCCCTCGACACTTCGCGCTGAAGGTCCGCCATCGTCACGGGCGGGCGATACCCCCCACCCCCGCCACGAGCACGGGGACCCCTCCATTCCCCCTGACCTCCGGGGTGAGCAAGCCAGTGCGACTGTTGCTGATAACGCCGCGGAGATTCACGCCGGCGACGAGACGACATGCGCTCGTGGTGGGGCGCAGGGGAGTGGGGGCGCGACGAGCGACGGTCGGGCAACAGAGGACGTGACGGCTGGCCAGCCGGAGCCACCGGCGTCACAACCGGTGCGGACTGACACACTGCCAAGGGCGCAATCAACGGAGCTAGTCCGCCAGTGGTGGCGGAGGCCGCCTTCGGTGACGAAGGCCGGAGCAGGCACGACGGGGACAGAAACGGGCGGTGCAGCAGGGGCGCCATGGACAGGTGCGGGGGGATCAGCATCACCCCTAGCAGAGGCAAACGCTGACAACTCGACAAGGGGAGCCTGGGGGCCAAGCACCGCAGGCGGAGCAGACGGAACAGCGGCAGGGGTAGACGAGCCAGCCCCTTGCGCGGCAAGGGGATCCGCGGATGCATGGGGCGGAGTCCTTTCAGAGGCCGTTGTCGAGGGTTTCGGAGCCGGCGGTAGAGGGGGCTTCGTCGCCATGGTCACCCTTTCGGGCTCCGCCAGAGGCTCGGCGGCCGCAGCCGACCAGGCGGCAACGAGCTCTGGCGTTGGCTCAGGAGCTCCGGCAATCACCATTGCAGACGCAAGTAAGTTGCGGGGCGGAAAGGCGAACAGTAAGCGGGACCGACGGGGGTCCAGAGAACGGATACCAAGCGGCAGCACGGGTAGCTTTAAATAATCTGGAAGCAGCTAATGAAGAGGATGAGCTGCGGGACCCCACTTATAGGGAAGAGCCCACACTTGATAGCGAGAACGATGTGGCAGAGGAAGAGGGAGGCGGGGCGAGGGAAGGCTCAGGGAGAAGGGAAGCACCAGGGAGGCAAACTCGCTCACACAC